GCTGTTTTTTCAACATGAACTCTCACCAACTCGCCCAGTTATCTATCCTTATCGCTTCCTGGTATGGAGCGACAACTTGAGCAGGGATGGGGATGCTGCAGCTTCGACTTTGCAGGAGTACCTCTGGCCAGGGTAAGTGCATCCGAAATTTTCCAATCATGCGTGACTTCGGTAGCACGTAAATAAAAGCAAGGAACCTTTCACATATTAAAAGATACTAAAAATTTGCACCTTTATCGAAATATATTTTATATGACAGGCTTCACAGGCCCCCCGCGGCCATTGTTAAAGACACGGCTGTATTTATGACACAATAATGTGCGGGTCTCTAGCGACTGGGTTGGCATGCGGCTGCAGGATTCGGACAAGAGGAGCCCGGAAGAAGTGCTCAGCCCAGCACAGAGCCCTAAACCGAGCCCTGGAGCCGCCTCTGGGGAAGGCCCCTCCCTGGCAGAAAAAGAATCGGTGTCTGCACCCCTCAAGAAAAGGAGGAGGGTGGACGGGGCAGAAATGTCCCGCATGGAACAGAGGACGGCAGCACTTACAAGGCTAACAGAGTGCGTGGAAGCACCACCACCAGCACCAGATAACAGCATGGTGGTGGCCGAATATTTACAGTCGATGTCTCTGGCAGTGAGGGCTAGATGCCAGATATCGGTTTTGTCAGCAATCGCTGCACACTTGGATTGAACATGTCCCACAGTACCCGTCTGCATTTTCCTATCACATTGCAAGCAATTGTTTTGGAGTAATGCCCATTGCATGACATAACCTTGCAGTTCTTAGATCCTTATGTTTAAATGTAAGTTATTACTGCAGATATTACCAGAGAGCTTGCAGCAAATTGCAAGCTGCTGACCCCCTCTGCCTGGGTTCGATTTTAAGTATTGCTTTCGCTTTGATATATTGCTTTCGCTTTCGCTTTGATATATTCCCCTCGAACACACACAAGTTTGGTACGTAAACAAACTACGACAAACAAATCGCTTCAGCTTATCATTCTGCTCCATTGTAGCACAGATAAAAACTTCAGTCCGAAAAGTGCTTCCGTGTTTTAAAATAAAATACGAACAGAGAAACGCGTGGCTCGCGGTACAGGCTGCGCCGCCTGGAAGTGAGCCTAGGGGCGAGGGTGTGTGTCCTACACAGGTGTGTATACGCCCTTCGCTCGGCGCTTCCCAAGTTTGGGCATTGAGGGATTGCACCTCTAGTGCGCTGAAATCTATCACCGCTAGTGTTGCTCACTCGACACGTGCGGCGCGAGGAAGCTTGCCGCTAGTAGCAGCTTGCGCGCGCGCTCAGCCAGCGCGCGCTGGCATGCTAGTAGCGGCGAGCTTCCTCGCGCCGCACGCGTCGAGCGAGCAACGATAGCGTGACAGCTTTCAGCGCACCAAGAGGTGCCATGCCGAAGCTTGGGAATCGCCGAGCGAAGTGCGTATACACATCGGAGTAGGCCACACGCCCTTGTCCCTAGGCTCACTTCCAGGTGGCGCAGCGTGTACCGAGCCACGCGCTCCTCTGTTCGTATTTCATTTTCCCCCGATGGTACAACAAAAAGGGAGGAATGATGTTGAACTGCAGTCCCTCGTGGAGCTGCGCAAGGCAACGTTGCACAGGGTGTTAAATGCCTGGAGGCACCGACACTGTCTTCTCCTTCCTAAGGTGACTGATGTCAACGCCCAGGTTTTTCAGTGTGGGGGGGGGAGGGGGGGGCAAGCGAGACCCCCCCCTTCGCCCCCCCCCCCCCCCCAGGGCCGGGGGGCGGTGCCCTTGGTATCCCTTGGGCGCTGCCGGCCGGTGTTTGCCCTGCCCAGTGGCGGCTGTTTCGGGGGGGGGGGGGGGGGGGAACACATGCTTTGCCCCCCCACTCTGAGAGCTGGGGGGGGGGGGGGGCGAGCGTTGCTCTTCTGGTTGGTACGCCCATGTCAACGCCAGCTTCTTTGTTCTGCCAAGGCACGGCACCTTCTCCACTGAAATGGTTTTAGAGCCTCCGGGGCGAGCTTTCGACGGCCGCAGGCTGAAGAAAGTTGGCCTCTTTCCAGGCGCCTTGCTTGTCCTAGGCTCCACTTGGTCTCTTTTTTTTTTTTTTTTTTTTTTGCGTGATCACGTAGCTGTTAAGATCGCTGCTCTACTTGAGTCGACCCGTTTCTACGTTCCTAACCCCGACACCTCCGCGAGAAACATACACTCTTCAAATAAATCGTACATACCATACAGCGAAAGGTAATCCGTGTAGCGTTTATTTCAGTTCTGTGTAATACAGAACAGCGTATCCAGTCGGTAGGAACGAGCACTGCGTTTCGGCGAGCGACTGCGTCCAACACACGTCGTAGTCCGTCAACATCGGGACCACGACCGGCTTGTGGGAACACACGTGTTTTTTTTTTGTTTTTTTTAATAATTTATAGCGCGCACAAGAAATGACACTGAAATGACGGCTCGGCGAAGGAACGAAGCAACGGATCCGGGAAACAAGGTCAGCCATTCATTCGGGGAGAGTCCACTTGGAAGAAAGGGTAGTACAGACATTACATTCTGGTTGCGGGGCGAAGTGGGGGAGGGAGGCCGGATCCTCGGCTTTGAAGGAACGGATGATTCACCCAGCGGACGGTTCACCGCCGCTTTTTTAGTTTGTGCGGCATCTTCTGATACTGTGTGCTACGTATCAAATAGCGCACTCACAAAAAAAGTTAAAAAAAAAAAGAAAAAGCTGTCGCACTATTCTTTTCTTTTTTGCGGCCGACTGAGTCCCTTATCGCGCGGTTCCTCTCGTGCCGCGAAACGAGCGCGGCTGTAGTACACGACCAAGCCAACCCGGCGTCGACAACGTGGATCTCAAGTCTGCTCGTCGCAAACGTACGGGACGTACTTTCAAAAGACGCAAGGATGAACATAAACTTATTCGATAATAAATTGACGTTTTATTTAGATAGCGACTTGGCGACATGAAGAGAAGATTACTAACAATTGCTGTACAAACTTTTATTTTAGCTTTAGTGTCCGAAATAGTTGCATTGCATTAGCTCTGGTAACGCTATATTCTGCACCAGGTTGCAAACGTTCTCTAAAACATGAAAACGCGGCTCCGCTACGGTATATAAAGCGGAGGCCATACCCAAAACGGATTGCTTATAGAGTTGCGGAAGTGACTGAACGATCTACTAAAACTCTCAACACGAACTTTTTAACTTTCTGACTTGGGCAATGTGATGTTTTCAAGCGGTTGCATTATATCACCAAAGACAGTTTCATTTTAGTTGTCTGCTGCGATACCAAAGTCATGGTTTGTGGGTCCTCATCGCTCCCGGCATTTACATAAGCCATATGAATTACACGAGGGGAGAAAGTTTCCTCCTTTGGGCGAAAAAAGGTTGCAACTTTTCCTCCTTGGGCAAAAATAAATGGCAACCTTCCTCCCTTCTTAGGGGAGGAACTTTTCCTCCCCTTTTGGGGGAGCAACGTTCCTCCCTTTCTAAAGGAACATAGGTGACACGGGTGTTCCTCCTCTAAGGAAGGAAGTACTACTCCTTTTTTTTAGTGTGTAGTTTGACGAAGACGTCATGGGGCACCCGAAGGAGTCTTCGATACTCGGCGGCGTCGCTTTCAAGAAGCTCTTCGTACAGCTGCATGGTTCTGTATCCCAAGTTCTTGTTCTGCATCCAACCTTTCACCCAGCGCCTTCTTTTAGCAGGTAGAATGTCGTCGCCGTCCGTTTCTAGCAGCGCTGCTGCCATAACGGCGTATCTGCCATAACGGCGTATCACGTCGTCGAGAAAGCGACCGCTAAATTCGTCTCGTAACACTGATATCCCTCACGGGCTCCCCGCCCACTCCCCGCCATCTGTGTGACTTAGTTTCGCTGGCTGTTGACGTCACGATATCCGTCCGCGGAATTCTCCTTCGTGTAAATAGCCCTCAAAGGGATACTTCAACGAAATTTGAAATACAGTTTACTTGTCGTGTTCAAAAATAGGTTGAGTATGATCCACAATATCCGTAAACGACAATCGCACGTTTATATTTTGAGCTTGGTGCAGCGCTCAGTGGCGTGCCGCGGCGGCCCAAGAGAAAGGGGGGGGGGGGGGGGGGGGGGGGGGGGGGGGGTCGTGGTCGTGTCGGCGGCGGGCCACGCCAGAGCGTAGGGGGGGGGGGAGGTCGCGACGGGCTACCGCCCCGGGTGCCGCTGACCCTAGTGCGCCACTCGTTTGATGATTACAAGGCAGGTGTTCTCGAAGCGCACACGTTTTAGTCAAAATAATTGCTCTTTCATTACAATGCACGTCAACTGCAAAATCAGAAAGAGGGCCCGGCGCTGCTTTGATATCATAATCTAAACATATGCTTTTCTCGCTGTATTTTTATATCTTCATGCGTGTGATGATTTACGTCAGTACAGGTATCCCGTATCGCACGCAAATATTATTCGTTTTTATAAACTTGATTAGTTTTTTAAGGCATGCCATGGGTTCGAAACAAATACAAAATCAAAATAGCATAATTGTGCAAACGATTAAAACGGACTGTTGTTGATGGCATACTTCAGTAATCCCGTGTGCGTTCGTCATGCGTTCGTCGTCTGCAACAGGCATCTCGAGACGTCAAATATTTCAGAAACAGCCGATTGTCGGCAAACTTCTGTCGTGGTAATTGTGCAATCTAGGCTTCCTTTTTCTATTATTTTTATACGCTTAAATTCCACGTCCGACTTTTGACCGATCGTCCTTTCGGAGCGGAATCCAGCCCATAGAGATCATACATACTTCCAGTCCCTTGTATCCGCCCGTAACAACGCCCCTAGCAACGGTTTGATTGGAGCGGTGACGTCACACTTACAGGGTCAAACTCTTTATCTTCCTCTTTGTCTGAAAGTAGGTTCTTTTTTTCAAAACATCTATTAAACCAAATTGAAGACACGTTTTTATTTGTAAGAAAATCTTAAAAACATTTATTTGTTAAAACGTTGTTAAAAACAGATGACATAGCATCCGGTTTGATTGAACGTTTGACGCGGCGTAGTTTAAAAGGGATCTTGCACTATCGAACGTAGGGCAAACCCAGATAACCAGGCGCTTTGTTTTCGTCAAGTCCTGTGTGCCCAGCCGGTCAGGCCTGTGGGCGTGTTCCAAAGCGCATCGAGCAGGCACCCCCGCGCTGCGTTTTGTACGCGATGGCCGACGATAAACGCGGGATGTGCGCCATGGTCTTCTCACCCCCCTCGAAGCAGCCTAACGTTGCCAAAGCCAGCACCTCCAATGTAGAGGTGCTGTTGCTGCAACCTTTTGCGCGGACTCCCCAACTGTGCTTCGAGGACGTACCCGTGGGAGCCGAGGCTAGCAGGTTCGTCAAAGTGCGCAACGTTTTGGACACTGCCTCCACGGTGTTCATCGAACGGGTTCCTCGAGACAAAGGGTTCGCCGTCGATCCCGAAGTCTTCAGACTGACTCCGGGCACGGAGCAATTAGTGAACTTCCTATGGAAACCGGCGGACGACGGTGCAAGCTGCAGGTCCACGGTCAGCGTCCGCTCTAGCCAAGGCTACAAGGGAATGCTGGTTCTGCTTGCGACTGTAAAGAAGTCGACGGAAAGGGTAACAACTCGAATAAAATATCTACCTTCGGTTTTCGTGCTCCTTGTCCTGTCGCCAAGTCGCAGGATTGCTCAGACAAGATTTGAAACGTAAAATATTTGTAATATACTTCATTGACGCTCTGAGAAAGCTGGTAGAAAATATAACGTCATTGACAAGTTCGCTCAGTCCAGAAAGCTAAACAAGCAAGCGGTGTGGCGACTCTTGTCGCTATGATGCTAGTGATCACCGTTCTGAGTTAGGACTTAGCGCTGACCTGGTGGGCTATGTTCGACAAATATTTCGTTTCTCCTAAAAAGGAACGGAAGTGACTAAAGCGACGATATCGGCTCCGATTGGTTAGAGGCTCAAATGACGAAAATTCCGTCTATCGTCATTTGAGCCTCTAGCCAGTGAGACGCGATATAGTCAGTTCCGTTACTTACATTTCTTTTTTAAGAGAAACGAAACATTTGTCGAACATAGCCCCCCAGATCATGTTTTGCTGGTGTGGAGGGGGAGGGGACCTCTCTATCTTCATATACTGGATGATTTGTTTAAGCGTGTGAATGCATTTTGTTTGTATGAATTTATTTTTCTCCTCTGGTGACTAAAAGGCTCAACATTCTAAGTGAACAAATAAATAAATAGAAGCAGCCATTGCAACCTCTATCATAACAATTCCTGTTCAAGACCATCTTTTAGTTTCTCAGCAAATTTATTTGTTCTTTCATGCTCCCAGGTTCTCAGAAAGCCACAGAAGCCCTGTGCCTCAACTCCTGCCAACCGACGGCAAGCAAAGGTTCCTGCTCCAGACAGCAAGAAAACTGCACAAGCTTCGATAATGACAAGACGAAACATCACCATACCTATAGAATTCAATTCGAGAACTGAAATGCGGCAGAAGAGTAGAGTCAAGCCCACCATTCCTTGCCCAGCAGCACAAGTCCAAGAAACGTCTACATTTGCGGATCCATCTTCCCAGCAGATCCACCAAGAGCCCTTTTTCGTTAATGCAGCTGGAACCCAGAGCTGCCAAGAAATACTTATCTGTAACAAAGTTGAGGTTGCAGACATCACTGGCACCCAGATCCGTCGTGAGACATTCATCTCTAACGCGGCTGCAGTTGAAGGCCCCACTGGTTCCACAGACTCCGAGGAATTTGAGGACAGCCTTAATTCTGCCCATACCGCCCCTGTCAATTCTGGAAAACTGAATGGCAGCCCTGTTGTGGGACATGTGTCTGCTGTGGATGAAAAAACTGAACGGTCTGCTTTCAGCACTGTATGTGAGGAGGACTCGATTGACTTCTCATCCAGCAGCAACTTCAGTGCAAGGATGCAGGCTTTGTATGAGGAGGTCATCAAAAGGCAAGCCCCAGGTCACAGCCCAGATTCAATGGAATCTGTCTTGGACAAGGAGTTCAGCATAAGGATGGAGGAACGATATCGGCGAGCGTTGGCAAGGCACCAGTCTCCTCAAGCACATTCCTTTGAAGCAGGGGATGAAGACATTGAGGTGCGAGAGCTTGAAGATGCTGCTGCAGAGTTGGATCTTGGTACCACAGCTGATGATGCTAGTTCTCTCTTCACCACTCGGAAACATGGCAATGATGGGGAGCTTCTCGGCTTTGATGACTTCTTCCCATCCAATATCAGCAGTATTCATGCCTCTTTTTTAAATCTATAATGGAATTTTTCCAGGTGCAGAGAAATGTGCACTTGTTTATGGTAACAAACCTGCATGTCAATGCTTCTTTTTTTAAATCACAGACAAAGTTGGATTGAGTTAATCTAGTCATTTGGACGTTTATACAATGCAGCATTTGAAATAAAAATGTGACTGTCAAATGTGTTCCAAATATGAGTAGGTCACTTTGCATGAAGTCATTTGCATTTCAGGATACTCAACACACCTGCAGACCCGGCTTTTCTGGGTCTGCAGGTGACTTCCAAACACCTTGCCTAACACTTTCTTCGAAGGTCATTGTCTTCTTGGTGTCCCTACCCTTACAGGTATTCACACTGCATGAACACTCCACTTGTATGAAGCGCAGTGCTTGCTATAGGCTTGACAATTAGAAGCTCCATTTACATTTTGGGCTAGAGAGGCACTGTTTCAATTGCATCTAGCAAGTTAAGTACCAATTTTTAAAGGTGCTGACCAATGAAAAGTGCCTAGATGCAAGCGAGCCAACTCGTAATAGTGTGCAATACTATATATCATGTTCATAAAATTTTGAAAAAGCCTATGCTCGAGCTTAGGTTTTTCTTAACATTATACACCTCTTTTGAGGAGAAGTGGACCACTGCCAGAGACAGGACACAAGTTTTCCCAGTTTTATCCACTAGAACTTTTGTCAATAATAATGCGGCGTCTATTGGTCCATTAAGGCCATTCCTCAGCAGCACACCCGTCGTATTGCAATAAGAGGCAACATAAAAGGGGTATGCAGGCAAGCTGATTAGGAAACAATCTAAACCCCAAGACAAGGAGAAATAAAAATAACGGACAACACAAAAGATTTTGTTGTCTTGTCCATTACTTTATTTCTCCTAGCCTCAGGGTTCAGATTATGACAACTCTCTGTTGCCCCTATCATTTGCACAAATTAGCATTTCAACCAGTTGCCTAGCTCTTGCTGCAGGGCTGGTCCTTCAAAGATTGCTCAAACCATTTAACTGTCTATCATGTTAAAGTTGTTGATATTACCTCCTACTGTACATCAGAATATTGCCAAAATACTGCAATCACCCTGTCACCATCCAACCGTGAACTATACCGAGCACCTAGTTCACTCAGACTGAATGAGACATAACCCAAATACAATTTACCATGTGGCTAACCTGCCTTGGGCTGTCCGACATCAATGAATGTGCATTTTACGAGTGAAAAGGCAGATTTCAGAAACCTAGTGTGTGATACTATATTTTATGTGGCAGAGGGTGCAAATATCTAGACAGTTGCCCACCTTGGTCTGCTTATGCAGCAAGCCCTGAAGTTCACTGAGAACAATGGTGCAGCACACAACAACCAGTCAGTCACTGGTACTTCTTAAACAGAACAGCTCAATTCAAATTTAAAAAAGGAAAGGGGCAAGATTTGTGCAAAAAGCAAGCAAGAAGTGGTGCAATGAATAGCCGTGCAAAATGATGTTATAGTGACACAGATGCGCCGACAATGTATTAGAATGTACGACTCATTTCCTGTAAAACATTTCTGAAATATGGTGCCCATATCTATGAGGCAGATATCCCTTTACATAAAAGCACCTGCGGGAGCATTCCTTGGGCATTTCACATAAGCATTTCTCGGCTTGCTACAGTTGCAACGTGCACTTGCTGAATTGCAATGTGTACTGCGATTTTCTCTCGGTTCGAGGCTTCCTTGGAAAGAGCTATACTTGAAGACAATGCCATAGGTGCTCATTCCCCTTGGGAACTTATTAGAGCTTTGCACGCAGAGTCTGCACAACTTGCATACAATTCGGTGCAGTGATCACAAAAATGACACAATCCAGCCGAAAAATGAAAGTTATCCAATCACACTTTAATACAAACTTTACAAAACCTTGCACAACTGGTACAAACTGGCAAACAGCTCACGGGGGACATCCAAAATCTGTGTATGAAATGAAAATGGGTTACAAGAAGGCCATCGGTGCTGCTTCATATTAGCCTTGGCTGGCAGTGTCTCTCCACAGGAATCTCACTAAGACACGTCCTAGAATGTCGTGTTTTGGGCACAACCCTTGGCAAGACTGATTCACACACTCACTGTGTACCTATTCCACTGAACTGCACACAAAAGAAAGGTGCAAGAAAAGTCCAAGCCTACACTGAAACAATTCCTTAATATCCACTTCCATAAACCAACTAGACACGAAGTCAGCGAAAGAAATATGCAGCATCAGAGCGTACATCTGGAACCGAATGCAGAACTTGTTCAAATGCACATCTAGACTTGCATCTTTGGGATTTTCAGTAAAGAATAAGTGAAAGGTGATGAATAAAACTCAGAGTGTGGACATACTAAAGACAACACACGCCTCTGTATGCTCACTGTCGCCGGGTGTTGTCTATGATGTTGAGACTACACCAGCTTATTTGTGCTCTCACATTTTGCAATCCAAAGGTCTATTAGAACATTAGAATCTAGACATGTGCAAATAGTAAATTTTGGAATCAATCTGAATTGCCTTAATTGTCGTAGAATTCCCCACCACATTGAATTAGAAATACGAGAGCTGTAGTAGAAAATTATGATTTTAATCAGGTTTGGAAACAAGTGATCCTTAAGTGTGCTACTACTACACACCCATAAAAACAAAGGTTCAGGAAAACAATTTTATAACATGTGCAGAAGCACAAGCATCTTATTTTCAAATAAATCTACACCAATCTGCCTGAAAGAAGTATCCTTCCACTTGCACACGGTCACACCGCGGAAAAGCAGCACTCGCGACATTGTCGCCCTTGGTTTCGCTTAGAAATCATGTATATGAAAAAGTAATGCCAATCCCCCTCTTCATGCTAGTATCTCTACATCTGCCCAGCCTCTCGCCCCCACAATATTTAACAACGATTTGCATTGCTCTCCCATATACAGGAGCTCTAGCTTCGCTTAGTTGAAGTGCACCCACAGCGCGGGGGAAGCACACTAAACTAAAAGCAGTCCTTTAAATTAATTCTGAAGGTAGGCAATAAACACCAGAAAATAGAATGCTACAATTTGATTCAAAGTTCAAATCAAATACACCAATATTTGAAAGTCTGAATATTTGCACATGTCTACTAGAACCCAGACAACACTGCGACTTAATAAAAAAACACAACAGCAACAAAAAAAAACAAAAAAAGAAACAGAACCATTACTAACCCACCAGCAAAGCTGCTATAAATGGGAGTATTAACGGTAATGATATTGATTATTGGACCACAAGACACTAAAAGCATGCCTCAGGATATATACTTAACCGTCAATAAAAAAATAACACACCGCAACAGATTTTAAAAAGACAACTGCCAAATAGAAACTATGTGTGGTGTGGAAGGCACTCCAAAGTTGAGATACAAACATGAAAGCCGTTTTAAGCAAGAACTCTCTCTGGGATACAGAGCAAGCTTAGAAGGCATAAGACCAAGTGGGTCACGGTTGCAAACATGCCCGGAAGTAGCACATCTGATTGTCATAGCCTGCTCGAGGAATGGCGTGCCAGTAGAAGACAGTTCTAAAACCTGGCTGTCAACCGTAAATATGACTGAGAGCTGCACACAGCTCGAGGCTAAAATTGATGCTCAAAATCTAAAGAACCTCAAAACACACAAAAGTATGAGAGAAGAGTTTTTGGTAGGCTTGGTTCTCCCCATGCTCCCTGTATTAAGACAAACAACGATAAAAAGAAAAGTGCCTTTGGTTGCGTCCTTTCCATAGGATGGTAGGTGTAACAAAGTTTCAAGAAAAAGAGTTCAGTTTACATTGGCAACAGGGTTAGCAAGAGTGAGGTCAAAGCATCCAAATCTGACTTAACTTTCCCCTAACAAATGCACAACCAAATATATACTAAAAAGCTAAAACTTAGAAACCATTTTGCAGTGCAGACCACAGTTAAAAGCAGAGACCCCAAAATTCTTTCCTTCTATCCAAAAAAAAAAAAGCCTTTTTTTTCCGGGGGCATATGATGCAGCAAAACTACAAGGCCACTATATACCTTGAGCATGATTTAGCATTGGGAAGAAGGCTTTACAGTTGGCCACTTTGAAAGGCATCCCAAAGTATATAGTTCCTACTTGGTAGTCATTGACAACATGTACAAGTATTCCAGAAAGTACATCTAGGGTCTGGAATTCACTTCCCTGCACAAAACACCAACATCCATGGCCCTGAATATTGAGTGAACTGTTTCGAAACAAACCGGACAAACAACCCGTTCGAAGAAACATAGGAATTACGGTGCTACAGGTCCCACGAAAAGACAATATAACGACGTTTCGGTTGAGTCACACAGCGGTCTGGTACATGGAGAGGTCGCTGTTTAGAAATGATTTGTCCCTCCGTCCTTTGTACAGCACATGCCTTACCGTTGCTTCTAGCGTAAACAAAGCCAGACTGCACTAGCGACCCATCAGAACAGTCCTTTTCTCTACCAGCCACCAACCACAAAGACACCAACATGTCACCCAGTAAGGAGAATGGCATGACGCAACTTCTTAAAAAATCAACTAAAATCAAAATTTTTATAGATTAAAATTAAATGAAAGTCCAGGCACCAGCCAAAAGTTTCAGAAATTACTCTATATTGTTTGTGCGAGGGTCGCCATGCCCATGTAAGAAGAGCTGCACCCTCAAATTTCAAGCAAATAATCCTTTATCCAATATATAACAGACTGAAAAAAAAAAAAAAAAAAGGATATACTGTAAACGACTTAATCTTTGCGAGGACCTAATTTTCGCAAATTTCGCGAATCGCCTACAAGTTGCGAAAAATGAGTCCTGCAAACAATTACGGCAAAATGTAAACGCACTGGAATCTATTTTGAGATGCCACGACGCCGCGAAAATTAGAACCCGCAAATTATTCCAAAACTTAAGCTTTGACTTAAATCATAAAATATTGAGCCCGCGGAAAATAAGTCATTTACAGCATATATATATATATATATGGTTGGAAAACATTGTCTGTGGTTTGTTTCTGGCATTAATGCAGAATGTTTCTGGATTAGTCCTTTATCTGGCACAACCACACAAAGGCAAGCAAACCACTGCACCGAAACATGCAACGAAAAACGCTCCCAAAAGCGGGACGCACCGAACAAAGCCTGCCGACACGGGTACCACACACCCTCCCTCCCCAAACCCGTCCGAGTAGCGCTTGTGGGGACCGCCTCCCGGAAGGTCCATCGTTCGCACATCCAAGGTCCATGAATGCAGACACACACACATACACACACACGGGCACCAACGATGGAAGACGCTGCAGCACCTCGGACACAAGAAGGCCCTCCAGAGTTCGGGCGGAGGGCGTGGCACTTCACTACTGCGACAGGGGCCCCAGGGTCTGCAGGTAGGCCGAGAAGAGCAGCACCAGGGCACCTGCGGCCGGGAGCGGAAACCGGGGCCGGACCCTGGCCACGACGAGGGAAGCGTCGGGGCTCGCACCCGCGGTCGCAGCTTCGCTTTCGGTTGGAGACCCCTCCTTTGCTGTGACGGCGCTGAGCTCTTCTCGTTCCGGCACGACCTCCGCCGTGGTGTCTGCAGGAAAGACAAACCCTCCCGGCTCACTACGACGATGGGGCACAACCTAATCGTATCGAAACCGACGGTCCTTGAACCCGCGCTTGTTATGCAAGTTCTTGTTCTTTACGTTTATTTCTTTGTTTATTTATACATACTGCAACCTCATATAGGGTCATTGCAGGAGTGGAAAATACAGATAGATGAACAAAACAATACAAAAAAACAAGATGCCCTTGAAGATGTTCACTGAAAACGACATGCATTAGGGGAAAGAAAGATTGTTAATTGCGCTAATAAAATCAACACTAGAAAGAATATGTATCTGTCCGTCAGTTTCATTCCAGTCATCGATGGTTTTCGGGAAAAACGGATGTTTAAAACAATTTATTATATTGAAGAGTAACAAAATTTAATGGATGAGATCGTCTGGTGCACATAGTAGTAAAAACTGAAATGTATTTATTTCGCTCGATGCCGCCGTCTTCATTGACGATTCTGTGGTATATTTTGAGTCAATCTAACTTTTGCCTCCAACACAGTGGCTCGAGCCCAAGAGATGACAAAGCTGACGAAGAAAAAAAATTGTGGTCATAACTATTAAAAATAAAGCGTAGAGTGTTAGCTTGGATAGATTCAAGTCGATGAACATCTTTTCTTTTTTTTTTTTTTACATAGGGATCCCATACAACAGATTCATACCATAGAATGGGCCTAAAGAGGGTTCAGTAGGCAGTTAGTTTGACTTCCCTGGTGGAGCATTTGAGAGTCCACTTGACATGTCTATCCCATCTAAGATTGGGCGTAAAGAAAACACCTTAAGTACTTAAACTCAATAACTTTGTTCAAAAGTCCATTATCAATACTGTAACTAAAAACAAAGGGAGATTTTTATTTGTAAATCTCAAAAATACAGTCTTATCAAGTTTAAGACCATTTGCTAATCCCTACTCCAATTGAGAGAGCGCACGAAAGATTCGTTAAAGGAGCTGTGCAACAATTTTAGTGCTTTGCTTAAATAATCTGGGAGTTGGTGTCTTGACCTTTCTGAAGTAAAGAAGAAAAAACCGCTTTTGTCTGCATGTCTTAGTTTTTATCTTAAAAATTAACAAAGATTCAGGTTTTCGGCACCTCTCAACTCCTTCACCACAGTCTCGTCTGGGTCCAGCCATCTACATTCGGCTCTGCCCCTCTGCCCCTATCACCCTCTGGCTTCTGGCGGCTGTTCCCAGTAGCAGTTTCGTTGACCTCGGATAGATGGCACCACTATATTTCCGTACATTAAAAGTTTTGTCGATGATACCAAGTTTTTGACGCATTCATATTTATGCTGGAACGACAAGATTTATAGAAAAATTATCTTCTATCAAGCAGGTATTTGCACAACTTCCTATTTTTTTACAAGCCCCCCACTGACGTCATGTTGCGTGGTTCTCATGGCCGCCGCTTGCGGCTGCAGGTCGGGAAATATTCTAACTTTTGCCTAGCAATTACGCAGCGGAATTGCAACATTTCGGAGAAAGGAGATATGTGTTTTCTGTCCTTTGTGACAAGATAAACAATGTCAAACATAGAATATGCAAATTCTTTCAATGTTAAAATCGTTGCACAGCTCCTTTAAGTAACAGCTGATCATTAATTGACATGATGTCAATGTACAGAACGCAGTCATTTGTATAAAGACGAAGTTTAACCGCTATGTTTTCTACAACATCATTGATATTTAAAATAAATAAAAGAGGACCTAACACCGATCCTTGCGGCCCACCTGAACTAACTGAAACCTCCGAAGAGATGGCATCTGCAAATGAAACTGTAGAGAATGCTAGTGTAGCGACCGAATAAATATGGCGCCACCTTCGGGTTTCGCTCTTGTGTACTTAAACAATCTGCGGAATAAACCTGGGGCTTTTTCTCAACCGACACACGTGGCTAACAAATCCGCTCACTCTAAAAAAAAAAAAAAAATTTTGTTTCTTCTCTTTGCAAGGAAGGCAAAGAAACAAAAATTAATTTTTGTTTCTCCACCTTGTCGCTCGCGCCTGTGCCTTGCGCTCTCGAGCCTTCTTAATGGTGTCAGAAGCGCCTCCAAGATGCCGGACACCCTGGAAACTCATGCTGTTTCGCCGCTCCCGCCATCAGCCGCTGCCTTCTCTCTACAGGCCCCGCCGCAGTTCACGTTTGCCGAAGCCAGCCTGTGGCCTGCCTGGCTCCAGCAAGTTGAAGATTACTCCTTTGCATCAGACCTGTCTGCTGTGTCTGAAGAAACCAAAGTGCGCACCATCCTATACTGCATGGGTCCCCAAGCTTGCGTGGTCCTCTCGTCCATCATGCTGGACTACGAGGTCTTCCGCTCAAATGCCGACGTCGCAGCCAAGCTCACGGGCTACTTCGTGCACCCCGTCAACGAGGTCTATGAGTCGTGTCGCCTCCACAAGTGCACGCAGTTGGTGGGCGAGACCATTGACGCGTTCTTCACGGCGTTGGGTAGCCTCGTCAAAAAGTGCAACTACCCGGCACCGGAGGTGGACGACCGTATCGTATGAAACCGGTTTGTCGACAGGCTGCAAAACTCGCGCCTGTCTGACCAACTTTGCCAGAATCCGAAATGGAGTCTCCAAGAAAACTCCTGCTGGCTCGACAACACGAGGACGCTGAAAACAAGAAGAAACGTCAAGCAACGACTTCGCAGCTGAGTCCCCTCAACGCTGATGCTGCATTGAGAAAGTCAACCAAGATGGCGCCCGCCTCCAAAGTTCGAGAACCTTCTTGAAGCCGGGACCAGGGGCGGGACAGCCATCATCATGGGTCAAAAGCGTTGTGCGACTACTGCGGCAACGCACCGCACTCGCGTTCCGAGTGTCGAGCCAGGAGGGCTACATAAAACCATTGCCAAAAGAAGGGACAATTCGCATCAGTATGCCGCTCCAGAATGAAGCGCCTCAGCCATATCCAGCTGCACTCCGTGGAATCGTCGCAAGCGTCCGGCCGGTACGTCGTTGTACGCGTCAACAGCTACCCCTACAGTTCAAGGTGGATTCAGGCGCAGACGTTTCTCTCGTCCCCTGCCCTTTTCCGGGATGTCCTGCCTCGTTGGACCAACCCATGGGCGAGCAACTCATCGGTCCGGGACGCCGCCGTCTGAACCTTCTCGGTACGTTCCCGGCTACCCTGGCATGGCGAGGTCGGACAGTACACCAGAAGCTGTACGTCGTCGGCGGCATGGACACACCTCTGCTAAGCTAAGCTGCAATCGTTGCTCTAGGGGTCGTCCACTTTGTCGATTCGATAACCGACGCCGACCCGCCGAAGACGACTTGTCGCCGCCCACCCCGACGCCGCCTGCAGCTGCTGCTCCGCTCTTCAAGGGACTTGGTACAATGCCTGACGTGTACCACATTCACACCAAGCCCGGAGCTGTGCCCTTCTCGCTAAGCGTACCCAGAAAGATTCCCATTCCTCTCCGAGGGGTGGTGAAAGATGAACTCGACAGAATGGAGAGAGAAGGCGTCATCTGACATGTTGAGACACCTATGACGTGGTGCGCAGGCCTTGTCGTGGTACCCAAGGCTGCTGGTGGCTATCGCCTCTGAGTCGACCTAACCAAGCTTAATCAGGTTGTTCTACGGGAGAGACCTGATGCCGACCATCGACCAGTTCCTGGAGTATTGGGAAGCATTGTCGTCTTCTCGAAACTTGATGTGTCGTCAGGGTTTCATCAAGTGCGTCTCTCCGAAAGCAGCCAGGAATACACAACGTTTATCACGCCCTTTGGGCGTTATTGCTACAGACGCCTTCCCTTCGGCATCACCTCAGGCCCGGAGGGGTTCCAACGCCAGATGTCGCATAGTCTCGAGGGCCTCGACGGGTGCGTCAACATGGTGGACGATATCCTCGTTTTCAGCAGGGACAGACCGGAGCCTGACGCTAGACTCGACGCCGTCCTCAAGAGACTGCAGTAGGCTGGCTTCACCCTTATTGCCTCCAAGTGTCAGTTTGGTGTGTCGTCCGTCAGGTTCCTGGGCGTTATCGTCAGTGCCAAAGGCACTGACGATCACGCCCAGACTCCGACCAGACGACACGCCCAGACGACACGACCAGACTCGGACAAGGTTTCTCTTATCACTAGTATGCGACCTCCGATGGATGTGCACGGGGTGCGACGCCTCCTGAACCATGTTGGACGATCCTTGCCGAACGTGTCGGCCACGACTGCTCCGATCAGACTCCTTCTCAACAAGGATACAGTATGGACCTGGGTATCCACTTAAGCTACAGCCTTCGAGTCGCTGAAGAGGATGGTGGCCTCCAGCTCTTGCGTCACCCGCTACAACCCCAAATACCCCACGACTGTATCTGCTGATGCCAGCTCGTACGGCTTCGGCGCCATACTCCTACAGGAGCAAGTGTCAGGAAAACGCCGAGCGGTCGCTTTTGCGTCACGTGCCTTGACAGCCGCTGAAGAACGGTACAGTCAGATCAAAAAAGAAGTGCTCGGAGTCTCATGGGCAGTTCAGCGCTTTGAAGAGTTTTTACGTGGCCTCAGCTTCATTGTGGAGATTGATCACCAGCCGCTGGTCAGGTTACTAGGCACGGCCGACCTCGACCTTATGCCTGCCCGCAACGAGCGTTTCCGCATCGAACTTCTGCGGTACCAGTTTTCAGTATGGTACGTTCCGGGGAAGTACCTGGCCACTGCCCACATGCTGTCACAGGATTCCGACGGCCCCTCTATAGCTGCCTGTTCCCCCGACAGTGTCGAGCTCTTTGTGTTACAAATCGTGACAGCCCTTCCTTAGACTCTGGCGGTGCACGTCGACGACTTCAGAAGGCATCAAGCTTCAGATGCTGATTGCTCTGCTCTGAGAGTCTACTGCACGAGAGGTTGGCCAAGACGAGATAGACTCCCCTTGAGTATGACCCGCTACTGGGAGCACCAGGGCGACTTTTCTAATTGCGAAGACCTGCTGCTCATAGGTGGACGTCTCGTCATGCCTTTGCTGCTGTGCAAGGACATC